AGGTCACATGCAAGACTCGAATGCCCACATGTCAACCTTAGCCCCAAGTTTATATAAATACTTTGGGAAAAAAAACTTATTTTATTTAAGATTCTGATCGGATGGAAATTTTCCCCTCGCTACTAGGAGCACAATGATGTACTTGGATTTAGAAAAATATAAGAATTGAGTAAGAAAGTTTTAGAGAGAAGTCAGAGGATTTAGAGTGTAGAGAGATGGTGGTCTTTTAGAAATGAAGTTTGAAACGAATTTTCTATTTTAAACCATTTTTATTTCAAGGGTAAAAAAAACTTAAAACTTTACTCCATTTAACCATTATTTCTCTTTAAATTACTAAAGTCTCGGTCCTTACAAAACACGTTGAAACTAATTGACTTTTAATTATGTATTGTAAAATAAAATCAATAAAACACATAAAAAATGTTTTCTCATCGTCAAAATCTATTTATCCATGTTTATAAAAATGCTTATATGCGGAATTTTTAAATATTGTTTTGGTCCAAAAAATAATCAAGGATGAGAATACTATGGATCAAATTATATTAAAAATAATTAAAATACCAATAGAAAATAAAACAATTTTAACCAAATAAATATAATAACATAATGTTTAATACATTATTGTTATATTTCAACAAGATTTGTGCATGCAAAAGTGTTTTAAACTTTCAATTTGTAAGTTACTTATTTCAATAATAAAAATTAGAAATTTATTTCTTATTTTTATTATTTTTTAATTTAATAATTATAATAATTTTTAAATTTTAAAAAAATATATAACAAATTATTTTTTATTTGCTACTCTTGAAGTAATTAATTTTTTCTCTTAAATAAATTATAAACATAATCATTCTTATATTTAATATTCTAATTTTAAAATCATTTGAAAAATATAATATTAAAAATAACAAACATTCACTTATGATCACGTAAACATAAATCATTTTGTCCTATAATTATTGTTTTTATGCCCAAATTCTTCCATTAATATTTGAATTCAAATAGATTCCTTGCAAGCTTTAGTAGTTGTCAAGTACTCAACTTCTATAGTCGATAAGGCTACAACATTTCGTAACTTGGTAATTAACTTATAACTCTTCCTACAAGAGTAAACACATACTCAGTGATAGATCTCCTTTATTAAGATCATGCAACACTTGAGGTTTCTTTGATATACCAGGATCCTCTTAAGAGCACCTTAATACTCTCCACCTAAAATTGTCATGAATCTACTAACGACTCTTATTATTAAGAATTTCTAAAGTCTTAAACACCCCAAAATATCCCATTAAATCACCCTCGTGAGACTCCTTAATAAGTGAAGCCCTTAAGGACCCTGGGATACACAAATCCTTTTTCCTTTGAAAATATAGTTTTTGTGAATGTGAAAGTCCACCCCCTTTATGCATTCACGGTAAATCTTGACAAATTCATCATCTTTAGTATACAATTCCCGAATATAATCACTCTAACAAACTTTAATCAATGTTATTTGTTTTTCACACAATACTTTACCGAAAGATAAAACAAATTAAGAGATTACTTTCTATAAAATTTTACAAACCTTATTCTAATATATGATAAAGTTTATGATTTCATATCTTCAAAACTTCTTAACTTATCGAGTTTACATTTATTTCTTGCAATGTATTTAAAAAAATATATATAAATTTGTCGTAATCTTTACTATTTTCAACATTACCGAATTCCCTCTCACCAGCTTTTAAGTCCACGTTAGTATGGATGTTACATCTGAGGGATCATAATTCAGAGTCAGAGAGGTAAAGTCACCTGCAGGGTTAATGGTGGGGTCGGATTCAAAATATGGGTCAGGAGAGGTCTCCTAGTCTAATGTTGAATCAAACCAGAACCCCGTGGCAGTTGTTGTCAGTAGCACGTAAAGTTCAAGAAGGTATAGATGGATGCTGGCCACTTAGACAAAATTAGAAATAGAATGGAGTCATCAGTACTTAAAGCAAGACAATGTCAGGACAGGATCTGTTATTCAAAACCAGATTAAAGTTCTAATTCACTTTGCAAGTTTATGCAATCTTAGAAAAACTATTTAACCTAAAAGAACTCATGATAACTGTATGGAAAGCTACTCTAGTCGCTCCTTTTTCTAAGTACATATATTATTATTATTATTATTATTATTATTATTATTATTATTATTATTATTATTATTATTATTATTATTATAATAAATGATTAACAATATATGAGTTAGAAAAATATTAAACCAATATACAATTTAATTTAATAATATAATCATAATAAATATACAAATTTTAAAATTTTGTATTGTTATTATTATTATTATATTAAAATAGATTATTGAAGGAGGTATAAATTAAAGTTTCGTTCGTTTATAAGAAAATTATAGACTAAAAAGTGATTCATGTAAACAAAATAAGATAAAAGAAACAATTTTTATTATTATTTTTTATAAAAAAATTAATGAAGAGAAAATATTGCCTTTAATGAATATATTTTTTTTATGAAAAATAATAAAAATTATAAAAAATAATAGTTTACAAAATTATATTTACTTAAATAAATAATTATGTAATTCTTCATTATTTTCTTTTACAAGTCATAAATACAAATTAAATGAGTAGTTAATCAAATCTTCTAGTTGTTTCAATAATTACATGTGACATTTTCTTCTTTATCAACTATTTTCTTCAAGCCGTTCACAACAATAAAAATCTTCCTTTTTTGTATTTTATTCCTCTGACTTTAGTATCCTCAATAATATAATAAAAAGATGTTTCAACTTTATATAAATAACAATAACATACCCTCGTTAATATTATTAGAAAGAACTGGATTAAGTAGGTGTTGATTTTTACTTTATTATTGAGATTATAAAAGATTTGGACATCGAAAATATAATAAAATTAAAGGATTATTTTGTATATAGAAATCCATATCTCACTTTATTTATTTTTATATATAAAAATAAATAAAGTTTATAAAAATAAATAAAGTGAGATATGGATTTCTATATACAAAATAATCCTTTAATTTTATTATATTTTCCATGTCCAAATCTTTTATAATCTCAATAATAAAGTATATAGAAAATTTAATATACTTTATTATTAAGATTATAAAAAATTTGGACATGGAAAATATAATAAAATTAAAATATTATTTTGTATATAGAAATCCATATCTCTTTTTGTTTATTTATTTATATAATAACAATAATAACAATAATAATAATAATAATAATAATAATAATAATAATAATAATAATAATAATAATAATAATAATAATAATAGGTATTAAAGGTCTCTCTTAATAGCCAATAAGACCGAAGTAGGCAGATGAACTCAACATCATCTTTCATTTGAATTCGAAATAAATCAGGTTGAATTTTCCATGATTTTTTTTTCTTTTTGAAATTGTCATTTATTTTTCTAAAATCTTGTATTCTTATAATTTCTAATAAATTTGATTTGTTATTGTTAGTTAAAATATAATTTACTAAATTTGTTTACTTTTATTTATTATGTCACTTTTAAGTGAAATTTAAATTTTATAAATTTATCTGAATTTATTTTTTTATAAATTTAAATTTTCTTTAAAAATAAAATTATTTTATTTAAAATTATTTTACTTTGATTAAATCCATGATTAAAATATTTAAATCTTAAAGTCGTGTTCGTCGATTTAATAATAAATTATGTTTAGAAAACTTTGATTATAGAGAATGATTAATAGTAAATACACAATTGATAAGAAAAACATATATTATAAATAATGGACCAATAATTTTCTTTGTGTTCTCTTATTTTAATAAGTAATTTTTATCTAATACTTATAATTTAATAAGTTAACTTAATTATTGTTAAATATATTTTTATTATTTATATTATTTTTAAAAAACTTAATTTTGGTATTTATATTTCAAAAATATTAATTAGTCTCCCTATTAATAAATATATAAGATTTTAATTATTTTTATACTTAAATTTTGTATTTAGTAATTATTTTTTCAGATTAAATGTAATTTTAATTTTTTTTATATTTAATAATTTTTTATTATTATAAAATTGATAAAATGATTATTTTTTAAAAATTGAAGATTAATTAATCAGTTTTTAAATATAAGAACTAAAATAAAATTATCATAAAATACCGAGACACAACTTATATTTAACTCAATAATTTTCAACTACTTTTGAACAACTAACTAACTTTTATCTAATATTATAGTTATTTTTGTCAAATATTAATAAGTCAACAAAACTTTTCAACTAATAAAAAAAATTAAAAAAATATTTTAAATAATTGGTTAATCATGAAATATTCTTGTTTCATCTTTTAAAAATATATATATCACCTTTCCTTTTAATAATCACATGTATAAATTTTTATTCATATATATGCAAAATATATTAAGATAATATTTTTATTTTGATCATTTAACTAGTCATTTTATTCATTCAATTTTTAACAAACCATTTAATCTTTACTTTTATTTTGTCATCAAATTAAATATATTTTTAATATTTTTTAGTTGAAATAAGGTATTTATTTAAAAAGTGAGATTATTTTTATAAATTATTTTATAAAGTGAAGTTTATATTTATTTTAATACGTTTTCAAATATATTAATTTACATCTTATAATATAGGTTACTGCATTGTAATTAAATTTTAATTACTTTATCGAATAATATTATATTTTCTTTAAGTTGTATATTTTTTCAAAATTATTTCGTAATACTAATGAAATATAATTTTATTTATTGTAATTATTATTATTATTTTAATAATTTGTATATATTTATTATTTTTAATTTATAATGATTATGTATGTGATCAATTAAAGATTCAAAATATTATATTTTATAGAAAACAAAGTTAGACATTAAAAACAGAAGATATTAATAATATATTTTCATTATTATTTAAAAACAAAACACCTGTATATGAAGTGTGCATCGTGAAGCTTGGGACCAAATCAACCCAGACCTCAGATTCTTATGGCGACACAAGATTCCCAGTCAAACCGCGAAGAAGGTTTTAGTACCTCACCTGTCATGGCTCACCTCCTAAATGCTGTCGCTTCTGAAATCAAAAAACGAAACCCTTCTTTTAACCTCCAACCACGCCACTATTCCCTTCTTGAGCGCCACCTTCGATATCTTTTTCCCACTTTTCACACCCCAACGCATCCTCCTTATGCCTTGGTATCTTTTTATTTGTTTTAGGGATTTCAAATTCACGATGTCGTGCATGGACGCTAGTCTGTATGTATGTGAGCTTTTGTTTTGTTTTTCTTGTAGATGATAAGCAGGGCGATATTAGGGTTGAAAGAGGAGACGGGATCCACTAAGGAGGCAATATCGGAGTTCATTAAGAGGGAGTACAATGATTTACCGTGGGCTCATGGGAGGATTCTAAGTGTGCAATTGGAGAAGCTTTGTGAGATTGGGGAGCTTGAATTTGTTTCCGATTCGAGGTATGTGCTGAAGGTTGATGAGGAAGTGAAAGAACAATTTCAAGGTAACGAGAAGAAGAAGAGGAGAAGTATTAAACACTGGGTGGCAGAGAGAGATGAAGGTCAACAACGAGGTAGCGGTAGGGGGAGGCCCCCTAAACTGGTTCAGAACACAATCAACTATGAGGCACAATTACAAGACAAAGTTCAAGCTACACAACAGCATGTTCGAGCCAGAGGTTGTAGAAGGCGTCCTAAGCCAAACCATTATACAAACCAATTTGAGGAGCAGTTACAATCTCAAGGTTTGGTAAACTGTCCTAGTTCAGGGAGGAATGATAACTATAGTTTGGAGCAGATGCAGTTGATGGTACAAAGTCAAGGGAGGGATCATAAATTAGAGTCAGGAGAGGCAAAGTCACCTGCAGAGTTAAGGGTTGGGTTAGGAGAGGTCTCCCAGTCTAATGTTGAAGCAAACCAGAACCCTTGGTTGTTGATGCCAGTAGCACGTAAAGTTCAAGGTATAGATGGATGTTGGCCACTTACACAAAATCAAAAATAGAATCGAGTCATCAGTACTGCAAGCAAGACAATATCATTTATTATTATTATGTTATTATTAATATATTATTATTTCAATATTAAAATAGATGGTTAACAATATATGAATTAAAGAAATATTAAGTCAATATATAATTTAATTATTAAATTAAAATAGATTATTGAAGGAGGTATAAATTAAAGTTTTGTTCTTTTACAAGAAAATTATAGAGTAAAAAGTGGTTCATGTAAAAAAACAAAATTTCTTATTATTTTTTGATAAAAAAATTAACAAAGAGAAAATATCACTTTAAAGAATATATTTATTTTCTTATTAAAAATAATAAAAATTAAAAAAAAGTTTACAAAATTATTTTTACTTAAATAAATAGTTAAAATAATTATATAATTTTACGTTATTTTCTTTTACAAGTCACAAATATAAATTAAATAAGTAGTTAAACAAATCTTCATCCAATAATATGGTAGTTACAATAATTACATATAACATTTTTTTCTTTATTAACAATTTTTTTCTTGAAACAGTTCGCAACAATAAAAATCTTTTTTTTACTTTAATATCATCAGTGTAATATAATAAAAAGATGATTCAACTTTATATAAATAACAACATATGATTCATATTACTAGAAAGAAGTTGAGTTTCTTACACGGTTAAAGTAGGTACGAATATTTATTTTATTATTAGGATTATAAAAGATTTTGACATGTCAAATATAATAGAATTAAAAGATTATTTTTATTCAAAAATCCATTTATATATATATATATATATATATATATATATATATATATATATATATAAAAAATGAGGTGTTAAAGGTTTCTTAGATTCTTAAAAGGCGCATCATAATCCTGTAATAAGACCGAACTAGTCACATGAACTCAGAATCAGTTGAATGTTTCGTTCAAATTCCCAAAAATCATATTTCTTTTGACTTCGAATAAAACCGGTTGAGAATTAGTTAGTCTAAAATTTTGAAAAAAAATTTATAGTTGTCATTTTTTTTTTCTAAAATCTTGTATTCTAATAATTTCTAATAAATTTGACTTGTTAATGTTGAATTAAAATATAATTTACTAAATTTGTTTGTTTTCATATATAATTTACTTTTATTTATTATGTTACTTTTAAGTGAAATTTAAATTTTATAAATTTATATATATTATATTTTTTTATAAATTTAAATTTTATTTAAAAATAAAAATAAAAATATTTTATTTTAAATTATTTGACTCCGATTAAATCCTTATTATTAAACCTTTAAATGTTTGTTGATTTAACAATCATGTTTAGAAAAGTTTGATTAAAGTATTCAAGAATGATTAATAATAAAAACATAATTGATAAGAAAAACATATATTTAAAATAATTGACCGCATAATTTTGTTTGTTTTGTCTTATTTTAATAAGTAATTTTTATCACATACTTATAATTTAATAAGTTAACTTAATTATTGTTAAATATATTTTTATTATTTTTTAAAAAACTTAATTTTGGTATTTATATTTAAAAAATATTAATTAGTTAAAAAAAGTAAAAAAACTATTTTAAATTATTGGTTAATCACGAAGTATTCTTGCTAAATATTTAAAAATATATATATATATATATATATATATATATATATATATATATATATATATATATCATCTTTCCTTTTAATAATCACACGTATAATTTTTTATTTATGTATGAGCAATATATATTAAGATAATATTTTTATTCTTAAATTTTATTTTGATCATTTAACTAATCTTTTAAAAGAGATTTTATACATTTAATTTTCAATTAATCATTTAATCTTTTCTTTTATTTTATCATCAAATTAAATATATTTTTAATATTTTTTATAATAAAAAAAGTTAAAAAAATATTTTAAATAATTGGTTAACGACGAAATATTCTTGCTTAATCTTTAATATATATATATATATATATATATATATATATATATATATATATATATATCACTACAAGAAAAATTCATTTTAGCGACCGAAAAGCGTCGTCAAAAAGTCAAGTCGTTAATGTGTTAGCGATCGATTTTCATTTTGGTCGTAAAATAGCGATCTGAAATTAATATATTCAATTGTTTGCTAACTCGATGACAAAGTTAAAAAATAACGACCGATTTAAATCGGTCGCTAAATCAAGTAACAAAGTTAAAAAAAATAACGATCAATTTATTGAAATTATCGGGATTTGAACCCGATACCTTAGAATTGGAGGCTAAAACTCCAATCACTCGAACTACAAGGACTTTTTAATAATAACTTACAAATAAATTATATTTATATACAAATAAATGTATATCCGTATAAATATATAAATATAAAATGTATAAATAAAAATATATTTATATATTTTAATATATATTTAAATATTGATATATTTATACATTGATATATTTAAATATTGATATATTTATATATTGATATATTTATATATTGATATATTTATATATTTATATCTTTATATTTTTACATATATTTATATCTTTCCATATTTATATATAAAGATATTAGTTTTGTATACAAATAATATTATAATATAGTATATTATACTATTAGTATAGTATACAAATTATATATTAGTATAGTATAGTATACAAATTATTAATTTTGTAATTTATATACAATGAAAATAATATAATGATATATTAGTATAGTATAGTATATTTGTATTCTAATTTTTAATTAAACTAAAATTATGCTAATAATGTATAATAATATATGAGTGGATAATAAATTTAATCCAATTACTTTTATAAATATATAAATATAAAATCTATAAAATATTAAAAATAATATTATATTTTTAAAAACAAATACTAGAAAAAGGATTAAAAACATATATAAATTATATTTATATGTCCAAAATATTAAAGATATCCACATTTAAAAAAATACAAAAAATATTAAAAATTATATTTTAAATTGATGAAAATATTTTTAAAAAGTTATATTTATTAAAGTATTAAAAAATATTTTGTAATATATAAGTTAAAAAAATTATCATTAAATTTTTTAAAAATTATTAGTTTTGTAATTTATACACAATAAAAATAAATTACAAATATTATAACTATAATGTTATATTAATATAATATAATATATTTGTATTCTAATTTTTAATTAAACTAAAATTATGCTAATAATGTATAATAATATATGAGGGAATAATATTGATATATTTATATATTTATATATATATATATATTTATATATTAATATATTTGATATATTTATATTTTGATATATTTATATATTCATATATTCATATATTTATATATTGATATATATTATATATTTATTTATATCCTTATACATTTATATATTTGAAAAAAAATAAAAATTAAATATTAAATTTTAAAAATAAATATTATATTTTTAAAAATAAATATTAGAAAAATATTTAAAAATATATATAAATTATATTTACATGTACAAACTATTAAAGATATATATTTATATCTTTACATATTTATATGTTTATATATTTATATATTTATATATTTTATATCTTTATATCTTTACATATATTTATATCTTTATATCTTTACATATGTTTATATATTTATATCTTATATATATATATATATATATATATATATATATATATATATATCTTTATATATTTATAAAATCTATAAATACAAATATATTTATATATTTTAATATATATTTAAATATTGATATATTGATATATTTACATATTTATATATTTATATATTTATATATTTATATATTTATATATTTATATATTTATATATTTATATATTTATATATTTATATATTAATATATTGATATATTTATATATTTATATATTTACATATTTATATATTTATATATTAATATATTAATATATTTATTTATATTTTTACATATTTATATCTTTATATATTTATATATTTAAGAAAAAATTAAAAATTTAAATATTAAATTTTAAAATAATATTTTATTTTTAAAAACAAATATTAGAAAAAGGTTTAAAAATATATATAAATTATATTTACATGTACAAAATATTAAAGATATATATTTATATCTTTACATATTTATATATTTGTATCTTTATATATTTATATCTTTATATTTTTACATATATTTATGTCTTTATATTTTTACATATATTTATATCTTTCCATATTTATATATTTATATATAAAGATATAAAGATATTAGTTTTGTATACAAATAATATTATAATATAGTATATTATACTATTAGTATAGGATACAAATAATATATTAGTATAGTATAGTATACAAATTATTAATTTTGTAATTTATATACAATGAAAATAATATAATGGTATATTAGTATAGTATAGTATATTTGTATTCTAATTTTTAATTAAACTAAAATTACGCTAATAATGTATAATAATATATGAGGGAATAATAAATTTAATCCAATTACTTTTATAAATATATAAATATAAAATATATAAAATATTAAGAATGATATTATATTTTTAAAAACAAATATTAGAAAAAGGTTTAAAAACATGTATAAATTATATTTATATGTCCAAAATATTAAAGATATCCACATTTAAAAAAATATTAACAAATATTAAAAGTTATACTTTAAATTAATGAAAATATTTAAAAGAAGTTATATTTATTAAAGTATTAAAAAATATTTTGTAATATATAAGTTAAAAAAATTATCATTAAAATTTTTAAAAATTATTAGTTTTGTAATTTATATACAATGAAAATAATATAATGGTATATTAGTATAAGTATAGTATATTTGTATTCTAATTTTTAATTAAACTAAAATTACGCTAATAATGTATAATAATATATGAGGGGATAATAAATTTAATCCAATTACATTATATATATATATATATATATATATATATATATATATATATATCCTTTTTTAACTTTTTTTTTCTTTTTAAACTTCTCACATTCTACATTGTTTTTAAACTCTATCATTTTTACTATATTATAATAATACATAAAATTTAAAAACTAAACTAAAAAAAGTAAGTTTAAATTTATAAAAAAATACATTAATAAAAGTATCATATTATATTAAGATTTTTATTATTTTCGTTAATTATAAATTTAAATGTGTTTCATAAATAAAATTATAAATTTAAATGTATTTCCACTTTTGATCCATCATAAATAAAAATAAATAGTCTCTTATAAATGTTGTTCTATTTTAATCCATCATTAAACTTATTTTATATACGAATTTGATGACTTATCATATTATTAAAAATTTGGATGAAATAATTATGTATAATACTTTTTTAGTATATTATGTTTTTAAATTTGTCAATAGAGAAAAAGTTTCAGAATTCAAAATGTTAAATACTTTTTAATATTAAAATTGACTTTATAAAAAATTAGAAAAAAATAATTAATCAAAAATATAATAATGATAAAAATATTATAAAAAAGAGTTCAAAAATGTATTATAATATTTTCAGTTTTAGTTTAATTATATTTTTAATTCTCAAAGTAGAAAAATATATTGTAATTATTTTAATTTAATAAAATATAATTTAGATTTTTAATACTAAAATTAAAATATTAAATAATAATAAATTTAATTCTTTAAATTTAGTATTTAGAAACTAAAATTATAGTTTCTCTCTTTTAAAAAATTAAAATAAATATTTAAAAATAAAAATAAAAATTAGTATTATCTTAAATTTATTAAAAGTATAATTAAATCTCTATTTTCTTATGCAATTTTAGAATTTTTTTAATGAAAATCCAATATATGAAAAAGTTAAAATTTTAAAAAGGCACAACCTTAATTTATATTAACTATTTTTAATATAAATTTAAATATATGTTGAATATAAATTTTAAAAAGGCACAACCTTAACTATGTTGTATATAAATTTAAATATATTTTTCATTTATTTAAATATGGTTTATTTTTAGTATTTATAAAATATATTAATTTTAAATTTTTAATCTTTTTTATTAATTATGTTAAAAATGAAAAATATTAATTAGTATACTTAAACTAAAAAATATTTTAACTAAAGATAAATATATTTCTATAAATAGTTTAATTAAATAATATATTTATTATCTAATGTATATTGATATAAATGTTTTTTGGGTATATCATTTATATGACAACAACCATGATTAAGTAATTAATAATAATAAAGCAATAAATTTAAAAATTAGATTAAAAATAAAGTATTATAAAATAAAATTGTAATAATTTGATTAAAATTGTAATTTTTTAATTAATTAAGTTAATGAGGAATTAAAATGTGATAATTTGATGTGTTTAATTTTTTTTAATATAAATTTTTAAAATATAATTTAATTTCAATTGAAATTTTCAATTGAAAAATAAATTAAAGAATATTTGTTATTAAACTTTTCTTAAACAATGTATTGAATAGTTAATATCACTCTAGTCTTAATTTATTACAATTTAAATTTTTAATAAATTTGATTTATTTTTATTTTAGTAATTCAAAATTAAAGTTAATCTTCATTTTGTTAATATTGAGACCAAAGTTTATTTTTAAAGTATATTTTAAAAATTAAATTATTTTTAAAAAATAAATTACTTTTAAAAAATAAATTGTAAAAATATACTAAAATAATTAAAATATATTTATAAAAAAATAAATTTAAATATAATAAAAAATAATATTCATTAGCTGATCGATTTCAATTCGGTCGCTATTTTCTCATTAGCTGATCGATTTTAATTCGGTCACTATTTCAATTTGTGATTCGATCGCTAAATCGAGTTGCTAAATGATTTTTTTATTTTAGTATGAAATAAGTCACCGATTTAGCGATCGAAATTTTGTGACGTAAACTATTGGTCGTTATTTCGATCGCTAAATAAAAAAGTGAAATCAAATCATATTTTGGTGCTAAATCGATCAGTTAAATTACGGATCGAATTAACTTCGAGTCATACATTGGTCGCTAATTGCGACTGAATTAACTCATGGTGACGCAAGATTCCGAGCCAAAGGACAAAGAAGGTTCCAATACCTCGCCTGTCATGACTCACCTAGACGCCGTCGCTTCTAAAATCTACAAACGAAACCCTTCTTTTAACCTCCAACTGTGGCACTACTCCCTTCTCGAGCACCACCTCCGAAATCTTTCTCCCACTTTTCATAGTCTAATGCATCTCCTTACCCGTTGGTATCTTTTTATTTGTTTTTCTTATAGATGATTCGCAGGGCTATATTAGGATTGAAAGAGGAAACGGATCCACGAAAAAATCAATATCAGAGTTCATTAAGAGGGAGTACAATGATTTACCATGGGCTTATATAGAAGGATTCTGAGTATGTAATTGGAGAAACTTTGTGAGGTTGGAGAGCTTGAACTTGTCTTAGGTTCGAGGTAAGTGTTGAAGGTTGACGATGAAGTGAAAGGAACAATTTGAGGGTAACGAGAGAAAGAAGATGAAGTATTAAACCTAAAATGGATGACAGAAAATATTGAAAAAATCTCATGATTTTAAGCAATCCTAATAATCACATTAAAATAATATATTTTATTATAAAATTTTGTAAACAATTCTTCTACGCTAATTAACTTTTAAGTTTGAAATTAATATTTTAATTAATTTTGTTAAATAGGATTAGTTAAGAAAAAAGTTAAATGTGAATCATAATTTTAATAGTATTATTTCTTAATTTTTTTTATAAATTTTACTTAGAACATATGTAAAAAGAATGATTTATGAATAAAAAAGATTTAAAATTAAAAAAACATTTATATAAATAATTTATATAATTTTAAATTATTCATATATGTGCAATATATATTAAGATAATATTTTTATTTTTAAATTTTATTTTGATCATTTAACTAGTCTTCTAAAAGAGATTTTATACATTTAATTTTTAATCAATCATTTAATCTTTTCTTTTGTCATCAAATTAAATATAGTTTAAGATTTTCTAGTTGAAAATAAGGTATTTATTTAAAAAGTGAGATTATTTTTATAAATTATTTTAGAAAGTGAAGGATATAGTTGTTTTAATATGTTTTAAAATATATTAATTGACTGTTGAGAAAAAATAATAATAAAATAACTAATTAAAAAATTTATTGGGATAAAATTAAATAAGAAAGATAATTAGGAATTCTTTGAATATTTTGATATTAATAATATATTTTTAATTATTATTAAAAGTTTTATTCCTTAAGATATAATCAAAGATTTTTAACATAAAATAAATAAATCATTATGATTTTCATTTGACAAAAAATTCATAAAAGTGAGTTTTAATACGTTTTAAAATATATTAATTTACATTAAATTATTATAGGACAGAAGTAAGTTATTGTAATTAAATAAATTAATTCTTTTTATGGAATATATTTTTCAAAATTATTCTTAGTACTAATGATAAAAAAATTTATTTATTTTAAATATTATTATTATTCTAATATTTTTATATATTTTATTATTTTTAATTTGTAATGATTATGTATTTGAGCAATTAAAGATTCAAAATATTTTATTTTATAGAAAACAAAGATTTTAAAAACTAAAGATATTAATAATATATTTCCTTTATTATTTAAAAAATAATTTCTAAATAAAAATAATTATTAAAGAAGTACGATGTTTGATAAACCTAAACACTCCAATGCGCCGTCAGGCACCAGTGGTCCACCTACACGATTGCATCACTTATTTTGAAACTTCTTTATATATGTGCATTGTGAAGCTTTGGACCAATTCAACCCAGTCTTCAAATACTCACCGTGATGCAAGATTCTCAGCCAAACGAGGAAGAAGGTTTCAGTACCTCGCCTGTCATGACTCACCTCCTAGACAATGTTGCGTCTGAAATCAAGAAACGAAACCCTTCTTTTAACTTTCAACAGGGCCACTACTCCCGTCTTGAGTGTCACCTCCGAAATCTTTTTCCCACTTTTCACACCCCAACACACCTTCCTTATGCCTTGGTATCTTTTTATTTGTTTTAGGGATTTCAAATTTACAATGTCGTTGCATTTACGTTAGTCGATGTGTATGTGAGATTTTGTTTTGTTTTTCTTGTAGATGATACACAGGGCAATATCAGGGTTGGAAGAGGAGATTGGATCCACTAAGGAAGCAATATCGGAGTTTATTAAGAAGGAGTACAATGATTTACCGTGGGCTCATGGGAGGATTCTGAGTATGCAATTGGACAAGCTTTGTGAAATTGGGGAGATTGAACTTGTCTCGGATTCGAGATATGTGCTGAAGGTTGAGGACGAAGTGAATGAACAATTTGAGGATAGCGAGGAGAAGAAGAAGAGAAGTATTAAACACTGGGTGGCAGAGAGGGATGAAGGTCAGCAACAACATGGTCGAGGTAGAGGTAGGGAGAGATCTCCTAAACTGGTTCAGAACACAATCAAATATGAGGCACAACTACAGGACAAAGTTCAAGCTAGACCACAACATATTCGAGGTAGAGGTTGTGGAAGACCTACTAATCCAAATCATCATGCAAACCAATTTGAGGAGCAGTTACAATCTCAAGGTTTGGTAAACTCTCCTAGTTCAGGGAGGAATGATAACCATAGTTTGGAGCAGAAGCAGTTGAAGGTACAAAGTCAGGGGAGTGATCATAAAGCAGAGTCAAAAGAGGTAAAGTCACCTGCACAGGGCTAAGGGTGGGGTTAGATTCAAAATATGGGTGGGTTAGGAGAGCTCTCATAGTCTAATGTTGAAGCAAACTATAATATAACCCTTGGCGGTTGCTGTGAGTAGCACGTAAAGTTCAAGGTATAGATGGATGCTGTCCACGTAGACAAAATCAGAAATAGAATCGAGTGATCAGCACTTCAAGCAAGACAATGTCAGGACCGGGTCTCCTATTCAAATCCAGATTAAAGTTCTGCCTCACTTTAGAAGTTTATGCAAGTTTAGAAAAACTATTTAGCCTAAAAACACTCATGATAATTGTGCGGAAAGTTACTCTAGTGGTTCCTTTGTATAAATATATGTATTTTATTAGATGCAAGTTTTATAAATTCTTGTAGCTCTGTGTCTTTTCTCAACAAAACTGGTGTTTTTAAACTTTTCGTCTCTATATTATGTCATATCAGTTTGGGACTCGGGCTTAAAAACTTCTTCTATTTTTTATAAACTTATTTATAAACGTTAGTCATGACAATGACATTTAGTTTTCTCCGTCTCCCTTATTCAATGAGGAACACTAAAGCGGTTGATTATTGCTATTGACAAATGTTTTGGGTATTTGTCATCTACAGCTTGATGGGCAGGCACAAGATCGTATGTTTGTGTGGTGAAAGCGTGTTTACTATGCAAATTTATTTTTTATATACATAAAATAAATTGTAAAATATGTTTTTTTTAATGTTATATATATATATATATATATATATATATATATATATATATATATATATATATATATATATAATGAAACTGTATCCATCATGAGTAGATTTTAAAAATTGCACATGCTATTTTCGCAAACACAACTTTATACAAAATCATGATCTAAAATATTACTTTGTTTTTCTTATATTCTATTTATTTTTTTTTATAATACTATCTTTTTTTTCTTATTATTGTTTACGGTATTTTTTGTTTTCCGACTTTTTTTTATTAAAAATTAGTATAAAATCATTTAAATTTTATGTAATAAGAAAAATAATACATCATTTTAGTAAAATAAATAGTTTACTTTAAATTTTTTATGTAATTTATTTTTATATAATTAATCAAAACAAATGTTTCATGTGTTTCAATCTTAAATTCATTATTATTGTTGGAGTAAGATATTCCAATATATCATCAGTTTTTTTTCTTTTTAATGGTTTTTCATGACTTTATCGTAATAGAATTAAATCAATAAGTTAAGGTAGAAAACTATTTATATATTATTATTGATTTCGATCTGTAACCTATGAAACTTTTGATGAACCAAAATAGTAACCTTAACTATATAGGTAGATTTAAGAATAAAACATTGTCATTAAAAAAAAACTAGTTGCCATAAAGAATAGATAAAGATGAAAATAAAAAAAATGCTGAATTTCATTTTTTTTCCTTCAAAATGTTAAAATATAAAAATAGAAACTCACCTCAATCTTTATATAAATACTATTATTATTTGATTATATTGATTTTAATTTGCTGATGTGACATGTCAAATAATACATTAATTATTACATTCCTGTAACTGTCACGTCATTAGACTTAAATATGAAATGTTAAAATTCACACTGAGTTAAACTTATTTAAATAGACCTAATCTTATCCCCTTTTTTAATAATTAATTTCTAAATTATTTGAACGATCATGAATATTAATTGAGATTATTATTAATTAATTTTTCTTTTATAATTTACATAAACTTGAAAAAAGAAATAAATACATTTTTTGGAAGTGATTATATATATAACATTCAATTTATTTGCTTTAATATAACTAATGAAATAAAATAGATAAAAATTAAATTAATTTAATTAATATTTAATTATTATATTAAATTAAGAAAAATACTCTAAACTTTTTTATGAAAATATTCATTACAAATCAGATTGTAAATTAAACTACAATATATATATATATATATATATATATATATATATATATATATATATATAACTGAATAGTTTTTGACGTTTTAATTTTTTTTATATAATAGATATAATGAAAGTAGAAAAAAATATTAATTATTTAATATGATAAAAATATGTAAATTGTTTTTTTTAAACTATGTAATTTGAATGATAAGCTTTCCTCCCATCTCAACGCAATTTATAGACTACACAACCAATATGAAATTCTATCAAATTAAATTCCAATTTGGTAGAATTAAGTTTTAAATACACCTGTATATATTATGTTTTTCTATTAAATTCAATACTAAATAAGTAAAACTAGATTTGAAATATATACACATTATGTTACTCTCTGTCACCTAACCTACAAGTTACAGGGTAAAAAATATATATATATATATATATATATATATATATATTAAGGATTAAATTAATACAAAATTATATATCTTTATTCATATATATTATATTTTATAAAAATTTGAAGCATAATTAACCCTTAAAAAAAGTGAAATAATATTTTTAAATCATGAAATTCATTAAAGAAAATAAAAAAAATTATATGAAAATATTTCACTTACAATTAGTGAGATCTTGATTGTATAACAGGCCTGAAATAATTAACAAAAATTTAGGTGGAAAATAATAATAATAATAATAATAATAATAATAATAATAATAATAATAATAATAATAATAATAATAATAATAATGTCAACTTTACCTTTTTCAACCGGATTAACATGATCTATCACTAAAAAAATATTATTCTTAAAAACGTAAAATAACGTCAATTTAATATCTGAAATAATAAAAATTTTGATATAATTCTTAAATATATTAAACGTGAAAATTAATCTCTAAATATATAAAATAATTTTTAATTTATTGTCACTTAAGATTTCCTCATAGCCACTTTATAATTCCTTTTTGTGAAATGTTATTCTCATAAACCATAAAATTTAAAATCTCATTTAATTTGATTTAAAAAATTAAATTAAATTAAATTAATATTTTATAATTTTTATGTTTTTTTATCGTAAATTTTTAAATATTATAATAAAATAATTATTTAATAAATAAATATATTATAAAAACAAAAGATATATTTTAATTATAATATTCATAATTTTTAATTTATTTTTATATATTTGTATATTTAATTTAAAAATATAATAATATAAATTAATTGACTAATTCACAAAAATATTATTTTATATAAGAATAAATATTTATTTTATTACAAATCAAAAATTAAATCCAACCAATCAATTTTAAAATAAAAATTAAAAAATACGACTACTCTAATGTTAAAAAAATTATTTATTAGTAAAATGCTACTTTGACAATCTCATATACAACCGATTTTATTAGTAATATAATAATAATATTTATTATTTTATTAATATAACTGGATGTGAATTGAATGTTTGGGATATTAAAATATCATCCCTATTTGTTATTTAGTGAAAAGAACAATAATTGCATTATTGAAAGGTGGGAAACATGTGACATGGGTGGTCCATACACACCCGGGGAGTCAAGTAAACAACCTCCACCTCTTTACTCCGAAAGCCATCTATAAATCTTTTTCGGTTTTGTTCTGATTTTTTACTGTATCCAAAACCCAAAGTTTTTACCAGAGTGTTTACTATTACTTCACTTCTTACGTTACATACACTACTAACTCTCTTTGCAAGACTGCAAATTCAAGTACGCCACCAGGGAGATGATGGACTCAGCAGTCCACAACTCCCACATCCTAAAAATCCATCATTTCTTCTGCTTCTTGTGCTTATTTCAATGCCTGTCTGCTTCAAAATCAACTCATTCATTCCCCAAAGAAGCCCTTCCCACCAAGTATGGTTACCTTCCAATCACCTCCACTTCCACTTCTGCAATTTTCTACGCCTTCTATGAAGCCCAGAACTCCACTTTACCTCTCTCCCAAACCCCGTTTCTTATTTGGCTCCAAGGTGGCCCTGGCTGCTCCTCCATGATTGGCAACTTCTACGAACTTGGACCTTGGCGCGTCACCCAATCTCTCACCCTTCAACCCAACCCTGGTGCTTGGAATAGAATTTTTGGCCTTCTTTTTCTTGACAGTCCCATTGGAACTGGCTTCAGTGTGGCCTCAACTCCCGGAGAGATCCCAAAGGATCAAAACGGCGTTGCAAAGCATCTTTTTGCTGCCATAACTAGGTTTGTACAGCTTGACCCTCTTTTCAAGCATCGCCCTATTTATATTACTGGGGAAAGCTACGCTGGCAAGTATGTTCCTGCAATTGGGTATTACATTTTGGAGAAAAATGCACGGTTGCAGGTTTCTGAAAAAGTGAATCTGGCTGGTGTGGCAATTGGGGATGGGTTAACTGACCCCGAAACTCAAGTGGCTACTCATGCTGTGAATGCTTATTATGTTGGATTGATCAATGAGAGGCAAAAGAATGAGTTGGAGAAAGCTCAATTGGAAGCCGTTAGATTAGCCCAGAATGGGAATTGGAGTGAAGCAACTGATGCTAGAAGCGAAATCTTGAGAATGCTGGGAGAGATGACCGGGTTGGCTACTTTGTATGACTATACAAGGAAAGCTCCTTATATGGATGATTTGGTTGAACAATTCTTGAACATTGCTGAAGTGAAGAAGGCCCTGGGGATCAATGAATCTTTTGTGTATGAGATATGTAGTGATGTTGTTGGGGAAGTATTACAGGCTGATGTCATGAAAAGTGTAAAACATATGGTGGAATACTTGGCGAGGAGAAGCAGGGTGTTGCTATATCAAGGTCAGCATGATTTGAAGGATGGTGTGGTTCAATCAGAGGTTTGGGTGAAGACAATGAAATGGGAAGGGATTGTGGAGTTTCTGAATGCTGAAAGGAAGATATGGAAGGTGAATGGAGAGCTTGCAGGGTATGTACAAAAATGGAAGTCTCTCACCAATGTTGTGGTTTTGGGAGCTGGGCATCTTGTGCCTGCTGACCAGCCTCTAAATTCTCAAGCTATGATAGAGGACTGGGTTTTGGAAAGGGGTTTGTTTAGAAGGGTGTAGCAGACAAATCTATAAAGAAATTCCACTTAGTAATTGAGTGAAACTAGAGAATGAGATTGTGAAAACAAAACTATGAACTTTAAGAATGTCATTGCAAGTATTGTATTTCCTAGTGAATAAGTGATCTATCATAGTCCAGAAGAATGGCTTTGAAGGCTTTTCGTATTGTTTAGTAATTGTTATTTTCTTCTCAAATGTATTTTGTTTCTGAAATTTTTATGTGATGATTATTCAGGACTAAGCTATGGAGAATTTCCAATTTTATATCAAGACAAATTACATGAAAAGAAAAAGAAAAATCCTTTGAAAGCAAAAATGGTACAGAAGGCCACCTACTTATTCCTAAAATAAACTCGTTAACTCCTCTAAAGAGACCGTCGTAGAGTCCATGTTGACTTTGGATGGGTAAAATCTAAAATCGATACATTGGTATTATTATTTGTCCTGATTGCTTGAAAATATTAGATAGTTTTTTTTCAATAAGAAAGAAAAAGGACTAATATTTTGAGTGCTGCTAAGTTAGGAAATGACTTATATATGAACTCTCCATATTTTTATATATATATAAATATATTTATATAATTTTTTATAACAAATTATGCAATAAAAAAGAAGAAGAAAGGAAACGAAATTGAATAGAATTACAAGAAAGTAGAATCATTATTTGTTTTCCTTAAAGAAAAATAAATTAATTTAATCTTAAAATTTAAATAAATTTAAACAAAATTGTAAAACTAAATTTGATATTTTATAATATTAAATAAATTCGTATATATTTTCATTAAAGTACATAGATAAATATATTAACTAGAAAAAAATATTTTTATTAATGTGAAAATTATTTTCAATGTTTATTTATTTATTTATTTATTTATTATTTTGAGAATTAACTAGAAAAAAATATACTTATATTTGAGAGTTATAACTAAGAAAAACATATATTTAAAATAATTGGCCGATAATTTTATTTGTTTTCTCTCTTTTTAATAAGTAATTTTTATCTAATAATTATAATTTAATAAGTTAACTTAATTATTGTTAAATATATTTTTATTATTTATATTATTTTTTTAAAAAACTTAATTTTGGTATTTATATTTCAAAAATATTAATTAGTCTCCCGATTCATGAATATATAAGATTTTAATTATTTTTATACTTAAATTTTATATTTAGTAATTATTTTTTAAGATTACATGTCATTTTATTTTTCTTTATATTTAATAATTTTTTATTATTATAAAATTAATAAAATGATAAAAAAATTTAAAAAAGTTGAAGCTTAATTAATTAATCAGTTTTTAAATATAAGAACTAAAATAAAACTATCATAAAATACAGAGACACAACTTATATTTAACTCAATTATTTTCAACTACTTTGAAGAACTAACTAACTTCTAATTAACATTATAGTTATTTTTGTCAAATTAATAAGTCAACAAAACTTTTCAACTAATAAAAAAAGTTAAAAAATTATTTTAAATGATTGGTTAATCACAAAATATTTTTACTTAATCTTTAAAAAAAAATATATATATATATATATATATATATATATATATAAATCACCTTTCCTTTTAATAATCTATAAATTTGTATTCATATATGTGAAATATATATTAAGTATAATATTTTATTCTTAAATTTTATTTTGATAATTTTAGTAGTCTTCTAAAAGAGATTTTATTCATTCAATTTTTAATCAATCATTTATTTTTTTTCTTTTATTTTGTCATCAAATTAAATATATTTTAATATTTTTTAGTTAAAATAAGATATTTATTTAAAAGGTGAGATTATTTTTAGAAATTATTTTAGAATGTATATAGTTATTTTAATACGTTTTAAAATGTATTAATTTATATCAAATTATTATAAGACTGAAATAAATAATTGTAATTAAATAAATTAATTACTTTATCAAATAATATTATATTTATCTTTAAGTAATATATTTTTTAAAATTATTCTTAATACTAATGAATATATTTTTATTCATTTTAAAGATAAGTTCGGAAGGTTGAGTTTTTGAGTAGAGATGAAAAAGACAAGACATATAAGTTGCGAGTTATGAAGCATTTAGGAGAGGGATGTGAAATCAAATGTAGAAGATACGTTGAAGAAAAATCATCAATCTGGTTATATGCATTTTTGTGGTCTAATCGAGTTTATCATGATGATAATCATGATGTTGATTTGAACATCCAAGTTGATGAAACGAGTGAGTGAAACTGAGAAGAATCAAGGGACGACAAAGGAGGTCGAGCTACTGCACCACCAATTGTTAGCAGCTCTGAAAGAGAGAAGGAGAACGACCCATAATGTAGAGTTTGTGAGACTTATATGATTTGACTAATGAGGTTCATATGTCTTTTGGCATATTTTGAGGACATCACATTTGAGGAGGTCATGTGTGATGAGAAGTAGCAAGCTGCCATGGATGGTGAGATCCATGCTATTGATCGAAATGGAACTTAGACGATAATTGAGCTACCAAACAATGTTTGGCATATTGGCGTAAAGTGGGTGTTCAAGAAGAAAACTAACTTACAAGGGGAGGTAGAGAGGTATAAAGTTCGGTTGGTTGCAAAGGGTTACAAGCAGAAAGAAAAGATTGACTATGATGAAGTGTCCATCCCGATCGAAAGGATGGAGATTGTTTGACTGCTAATATCTTTAGCAACACAGTACAAATAACCGATCATACAAATGGATGTCAAGTTGGCATTCTTGAATGGTGTGCTTAAGGAAGTGGTGTATGTTGAACAACCACTTGGATACGTGAAGAAAGGTGAGCAGGAAAAATATTGAGACTCAAAGGCTCTTTATGGGTTAAAACAAGCTCCTTGGGTATGGAACGACTGGATAGATACCTACTTCAAGAAAAATGGGTTTATACAGTATCCCTAGAGCATGCTTTATATGTGAAAAACATGAAGGTAATGTGATGTTTGTTGCACTATATGTTGATGATCTCATTTTTATGGAAAATAATTCTAGAATGATTCAAGAATTCAAGCACGTAATGACAATTGAATTTAAGATTACCGATCTTGGCATGATGAAGTTTTTTCTTTCTTGGCCTGGAAGTAAGACAAGAGGAGTCAAGGATATTTGTATCCCAAGAAACGTATGCAAATGAGATTAAGTTTAAAATTGATGTGGACATAAAGGCCCAAGCCCATAACGAGAAGGATCAAGACCAAGATCCAATCCAAGACTTAGGTGGACCTATGACAAGAGGCGGACTCAGAAAAACACAAGAGACATTGCAATACAAAGTGACCAATTTGCTAAAGGCCCAACTATTAAAAGATCCAAACATGGAGGAGTCTAGACCTATCACATGCATAGAATGTTTGGAGAGCTAAGAGACCCAACTAAAAGATTTAGTTTTTATTATTATTATTATTATTTTATTTGCTACAGTGGGGATTTGAACCCAAGACCCAAAGCTTATAATGCCTTCACTAAACCATCTCGGGTAACTTAACTTTGCTTGGGATATTAGGATTTTAATTTATCTTTATTTCTTGCAATGAGACAAACTCATAAACTTAAGTTGTATTAAACATTTGGAAATTAAGAATGAACGTACGTAATATTCGGATTACTTTGTGAGTTGTTGCTTCGCTAGGGTTCTTCCTTGCATCACTTGATCTTATCAAGAATTATTCGATTCTTGTGGCAATCCTTCTTGGCTTATCAAATATTCTTATTTGTGGCGCCTACTGGTATCTTTTATGTTTTTCTGTTTTCTATTTCTAATCAAATCAACTCTTAAAACCTAACCCTAAATAGTTTCTCTTCTATTCGAGTGTCGTCATTTGGTATTCGTGAGCGGGGTTCAAAAGTGGTACTTGTTCATCGCACTGTTCATCGGCACTATTCATCGGTCATCGTTCACACAATGTTCATTGTTATCGTTCACACTGGGGAGTACTTGTTCATTTGTCCTTGTTCACGTGTATCTGTTAAAAAAATTGTTGTTTATGCAATTTTGATATTGAATTTCATTTAGATATATATATCAAAGTTGTGTTTGAAATTAGTTTTCGTAGAAAAGAATCAAAAAAGGAAAAGAATAAAAGAAAAGAATCAAAAGAAGAAAAGAATCGAAAAAGAAAAAAAAATATATATATATATATATATATATGTGTGTGTGTGTGTGTGTGTGTGTGTGTGTGTGTGTGTGTGTGTGGCGCTTGTTCTTCTTTTAAATTTCAGTGCGCATTAGTCTGTTTGTTAAAATTCCTAAGTGTCAAGCGTCTTTGTCTAATCTTTGTTTTCCCATACAGCTTTAGATTTGTCTTGCTTGTTGTTAGTAGTAAAATTGTTCTTTGCTACTTGTCCTTTGTTGGTACTATAATTCTGTTTTATTCCTTGTGATTGCTACGGTTGAAAGTGATTCTTGAACTATAGATTGTTTGATTCTTGTAAGAACCATAAGTCGGAGAACGAGTGGAAAAAGGCAAGAGTGCATATTATACAAAAGCCAAATTAAGAGTAAACACGAGTGGTACATCTTTGAGTGCAAACACGTGAGAAGAGTGGTGAGGTCCTATTACTTCATTTGTTTGGTCCTTGCTTTTTTTTTACTTGAAAGATGACAGTACAGTGTGGTGGTGGTATCCCTTCTCTAGGGGATGACAATAGATTATTGATTGATGCCATTACAGCCTCAAATGCAAAGAATGTTGACAGAACATACCGAGGAGTTGTATGGGAGAATTGAACAACTAGAAAATCAAGGAAATGATGATGATGGTGGAGGTAGAAGGAGTAGAAGGAGAAATAATGAAGGTGATGTTAGAGATAACAAAATTGAAGGAGTAAAGCTGAACATACCCTCTTTTCAAGGAAAGAGTGATCCGAAGCATATTTGGAGTGGGAAATAAAAATTGAGCAACTATTTGCATGCCATAATTACACGTAAGATAAAAAGATGAGGGTGGCAGCCATGGAATTCACCGATTATGCTCTCATTTGGTGGAACCA